CTCCCTCCCTCCCCCCTCCCCCCCCCCCCCCCCTCTCTCTCTCTCTTTTACTCCTCCTCTATCCCTCTCTCTTCCCCCCACTCTCTCTCCTCTCTCTCTCTTTTTAATTCTCTATCTCATCTGCATTCACATATAGCATTTGCGTTTCCCGCTCGGTTTTCAATGCGGAAGACCGCACCGCGCGCCAACGCTAAAAACTTTACAATGTCATGGATTCAGCTCGTTTGTGGCTATTACTATAGCTGCAAACATGCGGATCCGGCAAAAAAACGCGCTTGTACTATTTGGTGGACGCGCAGTTTCGTACCACGCGGCTGCCGCAAAAGTCTGAACAGTGCACATTAAAGTGCATTGTTTTTTCTGTTTAGAGCAGTTCCATGCATATTCGTACGGCCGAACCGCTCCTGTGTGAATGGAGCCCGAAACTTGGGAATCCACAACAGCAGCAAGAACCTGTTTTTCATCACACACTGTTTCATCACTCATTCCTTTTATCTTATCTAAGAAACCAACAAACATATACTCACTTTCCAGAAGGAGCTAAAAAAACAGTTTTCCTTGTATTTAGTCGCTGAAACAAAGAAATAAATAGTACACTAACAGGGCACATTTGTAAATGAATTACAAACTTATCATACAGTAAGGGCCTGTTTACACCAGATGCATTGGGTCTGTGTCTGAGCCTTGCCTAGCACAGTCTCAACACATAGACAGGGCAGAGATCCTTGTTTTCAATGTGGTCAGTTCACGTGTTACATGGTGCGTGCTGAAAAAAGTACAGCATGCAATGTTATGCCACTGCGGGGTACAGAACTAAATGAAGTGTCACTTCAATAAAGTTCTAATAAAAAGTAAACAGTGCAATGTACCGGGATCGGTTCGCCATCACTGTTTCTTTCAGTCAGCTGATGTGAACAGGCCCTAAAAGTGAGTAAAATGATAAACTTTGATCATTTTATACCGTATATGTCTTCTCAATAGTATTGGAGTTCATAAGGATCATGAGTAATTCTTTTATTTATTTTAGTTTATTGATACTCTTTAGGTGGAGCTGTTCACAAATTGTTATATATAAAGCTATGTTAACAGTCTTGCTAGAATGGATAAAGAGTATTTGAACATGGAACTTTACCTGCGGAAAATGCTACTTTGGGACCCCTACAGTGCTGGCCACACATGTCTTTGGCAGGTCTATTGATCTGCATTAGAAATGAGGACACCAAGGGACATTCCATTGCCTTAGGGAAGGGTCAGAGAGCTGAGTGCCAATTAATGTGGGACTGAGGATCAGGTGAGTAATTTAAGTCCTTTGAACAAAACAAGCACTTAACCCTTGCATAGCAGGGATAGTCCCACTGCAAGGGTAAGTTTGTGATTTTCCTTGAGTTCTTCTTCAAAGCAAAACTCCAGCCCAAAACAACAAGAACAAAATAAATAACCCTTTAAAAGATAAAATCATTAAAAACATTAAACTTCTAGAGATTTCCACCCCCCAGGACTTTTTCTGCTACTAGATGTCCTTAGTCTGATCATTAGCACCATTCAACCCATTTTCTCTGATATCAGGTTGTCCCGGACCCGCCCCAGCCTGTGACTTGGCAATGAAAGGAGACTAAGCACAGTAATGAGTTCATGTCTCTGTCACTCTGCTTTCTCTTCCTATTAGCATGCTACTTTTCAGCACATGCACTGACTGGTTCCTTTTACTGCTTCTTCCTCTCGCAACGCAGCCCCGCTCTACAGGACTGCAGGTAGCTGATACTTCTTCAGGTGCCGTTACTTACACTGGTTACTTCCATGACAAATACATTTAGTCATGTATTACAGAGCTGCATGAATCCGTGTCTTTTATATCTGCCTAGAGTTTGGCTTTAACTTGTAGTGTGTTTCTGTGCAGGCTGAATATTCTCTTCCAAGACCAACATCATCAAGACTTCTGGAGAAAGTCTCCACTCCTACTGACACAGAGAAGAAGGATTTGGAGCCTGAAGCCTGATCCAAGGGAGAGATGACCCCTGTTTATAGTTACTACCTTGATACTTGAATCTGCATGTTTTACTGTATCATTACAAAGCTAGTTAATGGATGGAGGAGTATGTTTGTAGACATGTATATACATTTTCATTCTCTCATATTAAACACTTCAGTGTATGCACTGTTTCTAAAGCGGATTATTTTTTATCAATAATGTTCCTATCTATTTATTAGGTTACTTTTTATACTGTCAGGTGTTTTGTAATTGTAACTTAAGCATTTATTTTGTTAAGCCATATTGCATTAACAGGGGGTAAGGAATCATTGCACTACCTATATACATTTATTGTTATGAAGTGTAACACAAGCTCTAGCGCTAAGCAATCATTTCTTGACTTAGTGTAATTTGCTGCAATAATTAGAAAAATTTGAGAATTCTATAAGAGAGTCCATTCTTTGGGCTTGAGTGTGTATGTGTTGGGGGTTAAACAATTGTGATTGGTAGATCTATCCACTAGTTAGTCCCATGCGTTAGATCCATAGATGTCCATAGCAAAACCCTGACACAGAGGGCATTAGAGGACAATGGCAATTAGAAACACATAGCACAAGACTTTATATGATGAGTGGTGGAACAAAGTGTTTTGAATGAGGGACTTTTACACTCAACACTCAACTGGCCCCTTTTTTCTCACTCCCATTGAGTGGATTTCTCTAAGGCCCCGTTCACATTGAGCGATTTATCACGCGGTAATTCCAGCGATATCGCGGCAATTTACTGCGCGATATCGCTCTCCAATGCTTCTCAATGGGGCAAAGGGTCCTGCTGTCGAGGGTCGTGTGTCGCTACAGCAGGACCCTTTTTGGATCGGATTTAGCCGCGATTCAAGCTTGCTCAATGCAAGCATTTGCGCGATATCGCGAGACAAATCGCGCGATAGCGCGCACAATGCAAATCGCGCGACAAACGCGCGATTTGCAAATCGCGTAGTGTGAATGGGGCCTTAAGTGTAGTATAGTGAATCAGAAGACAATCATAAAATGACTTTCTGTTGTGTGCATTGCGAGCATACTGTACTGTATATTGAAGTACTTCATATTTTGGAATAAAGAATTTAGATTTTGTTGCTATGTTGGAAGTGAAACTCCAAGGGCAACTTTTCAAACTGTTGTTTAGAGTAGGGAATGGATAGAACCTCTGACAGGTTTTAATCGCTGTATGTGTTCACAATATTTCCCCTCACTTCCTGTGGTGTTATTGGGACAAGCAATGAGAGAAAATCTCTCCAATGGGAACACAAACATCAAAAACGAACTATTTTAGCAGAGTGGGGAAATATTAGGTCCTCTGCTTGATCTTTACTGCTATGTTCCCATCGTGGAGATAAGTTCTCACTTCCTGTGTGGTCACTGGGAGAGAAAGAGAAGGAAATCTCTCTAGCAGAGATACTGTCACATACCTGGTTGGAGAATGAAATGACAAGGGTCGCTCTCTAGTCCATAGTATGGACTGCATGTGCCAACTTCTATGAAAGATAGGAGTTGTGTGGGCAGCAGAGTGGAAAATGCATGATGAGAACTAGCTGAAGAAGCTTCCAAAATGAGGTGGACTGACCAAGCATGGTCATAAGTAGATACAAATTGGATGGAAGGAAGGCCCAATGACAGATAAAGTTTTGTGGAAGTGGCCAAACTAGTTGGCCATGAGGAGTCCAGCAGAGGTCCAAGGCATCAAACTCAGGTTTCAGTAAAGCTAGGAGCAAGTTCAGAAACAACAAGCCAGGTTGGTCAAAGCATGTGAGAGTAGATCAGGCCAGGACACAGAGGAAAACTGTTGGAGACCACTCAACAACAGCTCTCCATAATACCATCCCTTAAATCACTTTGAAGCCAACACCAACAACCTTTAGTGAAATGCACACACTAATGCAGGTCCCCACCTGGCAACTGCCCCGAAGAGAGTTCCTGGCCATGCACATGCATGCTCATGGTGGCATATTCTACCTTCCTAACAAATACAAGAAATGGCAGAGTTTCTGACACTTCCAAGTTCTATCTAAAACCAAACAAAAAAAGCTTCGTCAGGACTTTTATTTGACACTTCCCCATCTTTCAAGTACTCAAAACTACTTTGTCTCTTGTTTTGCAGGATGCTATTGTTAAACAAGATATGATTTCACATGACTGTCATTGACAGTAATCTGCATTGTGTATTGAAGGGTTCTATGAGGCCTCTTTAACAGACACTAATGCCTGTTCCTGAAAACAGACAACTTACACTGTGGGATAGCAACAGCAATTGAGATATAATGACCCATGTTCCATCCTGGATGTTTACTGTGATCACCAGCTTGAAATGCACTAACATTTATTTAGAGTGCCCTTGCAAAGTGTAAAATGTCATCCTGATTAAATAGTAATCCTTCCATACATGCTCTTTCTAAGCAAGACAAATGTTGGCTTTATACAGAAGTAATCTGTATTAGATCTTAACATTAACATGTAATTATTATGTAAGTTTACTGAGTGCTAGACAGTATAGCACTTGTGATGAAATGGAAATAATGCACATGGGCAGATTATGCAGAAGCCTAAATATGAATACAAAAGAAACAATTTGTATCCATCTGGGCAGATATAATCTGACCCATTTTGTTGATGGCTGAGAGCTCAAGTGATATGAATAGTTTTTAGGCATGCACAATTTACAGATTATTCTAGTTGCTAAGGGCAGGAACTCAGCTATATATTTTTTTTAGACTGGACAGATGTAGCACAGATGAAATAAATGCACAGCGGGCAAAAAGAAGCTTTAATAAATATACATATATTACTATTATGCTCTGAATCATTCACTCATATGATATCAGCTTGTTATATTTTTATGGAAGGTTTTTAACTTTTGAAAACTTGTGTAACTCATATAATATAGAATGCTATTTTTCCAGTTTCCTAAAGAAATTCTAAAGGTTTAAACTGATATATGCAATGTATTGTTAGATAAAATATTACATAACATATGATGTTTGCCACAAATAAACCACCATTTACTTTACAGTAGTGCAAATGTGTGTTATTTCAGTCCATGTAATCATAAAACTTCTTAAACAGGATCAGCACTAAACCACAGCAGACCTACTGAACCTGAACTGACTGAAACTGCAGTGCATGTTATCCTTGGGAATTAGAAATATCATCCTTGTGTTATACCAGTATGTAAACAGATGCCTTCATATAGCTGCCAATATGTCCATCTGTTACAGAAATATACATTCATTATTTGCATGCAACTGTATCCATTCAGCAATATAGCAATCCACGGTGACGATCACCCTAATATTGTTTTATGTCTACAATGCAATGACTTACAAGAATACATACAAAACATGTAATAGATGCATTCACATGTATGCATTGTGGCCCTGCTGCCTCATCAATTAAAACAAAAGGTAACAATAAATGCCGATTCAGTGGTCAGTGGAGAAAAAAATGGCTGAAGTCATTGGTCAGTTGGAAAAAAAGAAATGCTCCACTGTTGGTGATCAGTAGGAGAGTAAATTAACTCCTCAACGTCATTGGAATATGGAAGAAAAATGACAGGCATAATTGGTAAGTGGGAGAAATGCCCGGTGTGATTGGTCAGTGGAAGGAAAAATCCCCGACTTTAGTGCGAAGAAAAATGGCTCTGGTGTCAGTCAGGGGGAGTAAAAAATGTCCTGCCCTTGATGAGACAATATAAAACTCCCTTTACATTCAGACCTCAGATCAGCCCCCTTGAATTTCCTCTTCAGATACCATATCAGCCGCCTGTAAACTCCCCTTCACACTTCAGATCAGTCCAGTTTAAACTTCTCTATAGATCATATTTAAACTCCCCTTCAGACAGCATATAAGCCCCCTTCAAACTTATTTTCAGACTTCAAATCACACCCCTAAAACTCCTCTTTAGGCCCCTGCTCAGCAACCCCTTTAATATTCTAGCTACACCAGCCCCCCTAAACGTTTCTTCAGACCCCAGATCAGTTCTTCTTTAGACCATAGATCACTACCCTACCCCCTCCACAACCCCTTTAGACCTCAGACCGGTGCATAGGCTAAGAGCACACTGAGGGAGTCTATTCCCAGACTTCCCTTGTGGCTCTGTGCCATGAGACATTTTATCATATGACCAGAAAGAAGTGTTGATAGATTTCTCCACCCTCCTGTACGGGCACCATGCTGTTCGGAGACCTGATACCTGCGCTGGGTGAAAGAATTAGTGCTTCAGCTCCCCGTACTGGGACATGTTGTGGTTCTGTGGGACTTCAGAATTTAGTTTAAATCCTAGGATGTTCCCACAGACATTGGGACAGTTAAGAGGCATAGCGAGGGCAATGCAGTTCACAATTTACCCCTCTAAGCTTCTTTTCTTCCTTTGGATAGGAGATTTCCATAGTTCTGCAGGTGATCAGAGGTAGAAAATAGGCCCTTATAACTTATTTCATCACACAGAACAACATATTGTACCTATTCCTATATGTTCTTACTAGTCTACTTTCACTTGGCAATGGGAGTTATAATACTAACAGCTACATGCCTACAAGGAAGAGGAATTGGCTATCTGTGTTGCATGTCTATCCAGAATGGTTTCTTTTTACAGAATGCATGGAAAAAAAATCACAAATGTGAAATTGTTTTGGTCTATGTAACACACATGTTCTAGCTGGAGCTTTCTGCATGAATGTCTTAGAAATTCTAAAATATTACTTGGGGAATGTTATCTATTTTGCTTATAATACCAATATTGTGAGTCAAAAGCTTGTCTATGACTCATCATGTATAGAATTCCATCAGCATACAGTGGCATAACAGTAGCCATAGCAGCCTGTGTGACTGCTACGGGGCCTGTGGGTGGAAGGGGGCCACATTAGGGAGACTCTTGAGGCAAATAAACATAAAACAATCGGTGTGAGATATCAAAAAAACTGTACTGTATCATTAAGTAGCAGAGATTTCTGTCGACACTGACCCTGTACCCATTGTGACATTTTCAAACAAGAACAGCTGATGTCGGACACACAGAAGAAGGGTTCGGAATCGGATCCCTCTTTGAAGGCTGTGCAGCTTTTCTGTGTATTTGTGAATGTATTGCCCCCAGGGCTTTTGGTCATCCCAGCCAGCACTGAAATTAACTCTGTATACCTAACACAGTCTTTCTCAGGCTGTACAAAATCCCAGAGTGGTAAAAACTGTAGTTCTGCAAAAAAAGGTCACAGACTTGTGTATTAGGGTTGTACTGGGTTGTGTATTGTGTATTAGGGTTGTAGAGTAATTGTGTGCAGGAGTGCTAACAATTATGTCAT